TACTCAGGGCATTCAGGCAATACTCAGGGCATTCAGGCAATACTCAGATTTATAGAGATAGTACAAAGCTACAATCAGAATTCAGGGTCATTCAGAAAACTTTTGCTGTGTGTGTACAGTCAGTAGAGTACTGTTCTGTTTTTGTACTAGAAAGTTATACCCAGCTATTCATAAAGTTGCTTTCAATCTTAGTCATGATGTTCAAGGCGTTATGCAGGGGCAAATCATTTTAGTCACTTTTACCTGTATTCCACATTGAGACTTCAGAACTCTTGAAATTGCCAGCTGGATGTTTGGGACTTAATATTTCCAAGTCCAGGCTCATACTACAAACCTGCACATGGTTTGTTACAGATTGGGAATTGAAGTCAAAGGGCTGACTGGGTGTGGGAATATAGAAAGATATTGCTGCAGTATTTTCCCAGTAACTGGCATTAAAATACTTCATAGTGAGGCAGAAAAAAAACAAATGCTCAATAATAGCAGCAGATTCCTGACATTCAAATCTCTCACTTAAAGGAAACGAAAAAAAAGGGAAAAAAAAAAAAAAAAAAAAAAATAAAAAAAAAATAAAAAAAAAAACTTACCTCTACCCGGAGTAAATTCAAATCTTATGTCATTCAGCTCCTTCTTCAAATTCCTACAATGGAGAAAAGACAATTTCCAATTGTAAACTACTACTCCATGTTAAGTTGGTAGAAAATAGGTGGAAAACCAACCCAGGTATTAAACATTGGTAAACTGGGGGATTTGTAACTTTTATAAAACGTTTCATTTTTGTGACAGCTCCAGGAATAACGGCTTGATTTCCAGCATCCAATTCCAGTAAGATGCAACAACATACTGTTTAATTTTTTCTTCTGCATTTATATTTGTTTGGTGCACTGCCATTTCTCTTCCAAAAATGCACATCTTGGAGAAGTTTGTTCTTCTCTTCAATTGTTTCTTCTATCTTTCTTTACCTTCATTACTTTCTATTTACATTTTCACACTTGATCAGATATCTACCAAATCATGTTTTCACAACAACATGGCTTTCCACAGCAACTCTAACATATTTCATGAGGATATTAAATGAAATTGTACCCCTTGCATTTTGGATTTCCAAATCACAGGTATCTCCTAGACACTTATCTTTCCTTGAGCCTTTGTTCTCCTCACATCTGGAAATCCAGACTTAATACTACACGTTTCACAAGCATGCTTCTAACTCCCTTCCTCAGCACAGTGACTCATCATCTACAAGTTATCCTAGTCTGCGGTTTAATTACATCATTTGCTTCATCCAGTTCTTGATCTAAAACATTGTGTCATTCTTTCAGGTTTGAAGGATTGCAAGCTTTAATATATCAGGTACCAACATGTACCTGGATCCTCTTGGCTCTTCACTTTCCTCTGACTCCATTCCTTCTTTGAATATCACTTGATCCTAAATGATCTAATCTTAGGAAAGGAATGGGAGCCTAGTGGCAATGTCATTGGATTAGTAATGCAGCAGCTCAGGCTGGGGAGATGGGTTCAAATCCTATAACAACAGCTGGTGAAATTTAAATTCAATGAAGCTGCAAAGCTAGAAAAAGCTAATCTCAGTAATGGTGACCATGATACCGATGAATTGTTGGAAATATCCAGAGAGTTCACAATTGTCCTAGAGAAGAAAATATGTTATCCTCAATTCTGGAGCCCCCATAGCAATGCCTGATATGGTTGAACAGACCACTCAGTTCAAGGGCAAATAAGAATGGGGTACAAATGCTGCCCTTGCTAGTTACGCCCACATCCCAAAGTAGAAGAAAAGGGTTTCAATTTCATCCCCTTATGATCCCATTTCACCGAATTATGTGCATCACTGAGATGATCTTGTATCATTTTTGCTTCTGTGCACACTCCTCTGGCAAAGAATATTCCTGCTCATTGATCACGTCAATTGTTTCTTTTTCCCTTCAAAAAAAGAATAATTTTTTGAGAAGTACAGTGCAAGTTGCACAACCTGCTGGGAGAGCACTACATGACCTCTTTTTAAATTAGTTGAAATATGAGGCTATATTGATTAGGTTGAGTCATTTAAAGTTCTATGTAAAAATAAATTTCAGTTTAAGTTAGATACTGAAGCAAGTTCATAACATTTAATTTCTCTCGATTCGAAGGTACTGCTTCCTTTTTAGGATTATGGCTCTGCAGCTATAATAACTTACGAACCTATCCATTCTATTAATATATTAAGATTGTGCTTGGTAATATTTGAATGTGCTGACAAGAATAAGTAGGGATTCAGGAGATTAGTATCACAGCAAAAATCTCCTCCATTCTCAGCTATCAAGTCACTGGAAAATATGGTTAATTTATCTCTTTGAATGGTTAGCCTTTAAAGCTAAACTTTCAATAGCACGCTAATCCTAGAATGGACATTATTAACAAGCAGAACACTTATGCAGCAAGTAACTTAAAGGGATATTGATAATTTTTCAGAAATAACAAGATAACAGTAAACATAGGGGAAAAAAAAAACAGGGGTAGAATGATCTTCTGCATTTCACTGCCCCCTCAAGCATTTCACTTGGCTGCAGCCCGTCACTTAAAATCCTGGCTCTCTACCACTGCCAAGAACCATGTTGATTCCTTTCAGAGCTTTCTTCACTGTTTTCTTCAATATATCATGGGCCCAAAACAGGAAATCTATCTTAAAGCAAAATTTAATTTAAAAAATGATCATTTCTCTCTTTACGCAAGGATGCCAATTTTTACATAGCTCTCTGATCTTGAAAGAATAAAATCATTTATTAAAAATGCACTATCCCACTACTCGTATGGTTAATGAAAACCTAACAGTGCAACAAAGTCAAAAATCACATGACACCAGGTTATAGTCCAATAGGTTTATTTGAAATCACAAGCTTTCAGAGCACAGCCATTTCGTCAGGTGGAGGGAGAGGAGAGCACACAGACAGTTTATAGGCAGAAAGATCAAAGGATCATACAACTGGTGTGAGCAGTAAACATGCCTAAAATGGCTGACTGACTGCCTCCTGTTGAATCTTTAATCATTCATACATTCCTGCATTGTAGAATTTGCACACTCACACATATACTCTCTCAAACACACACTCTCTCTTGCTCTCTAATGCAAGCGCACACACATGCGCACAAACCTATGATTCAATCATTTCATCCAAGATGTTTGTTTATTTGCAGATGCATTTTATTTTGTTCAAGAAACACACAATTTGTAGTCACAGTCAGTGTGGCATTTATAAATTCCTGCTTTTGGAATAAAACCAGCCTGATCCCAGGTTAAAACTCGGAGATAGATTCTGGACAAGGCCTCACGCCTACAATTCAATGTGAGACCTGAGATGTAACATATTGTATATTCTTATCGCTCTGCCTGGTTGAAGTTTGGCAAACATTGAGAAATCTTTAATTATTTCAGGCCAGTGACTTGAAACAGATTCTGGAATTTGCACCTTAATCAATTGAAACTAACAGTTCTCCATACCCTGCTTCTGCAATTTCTAGAATGCAGAAATGTATGAATGATTCAAGATTCAACAGGAGACAGTCATCCAGCCATTTTAGGTTTGTTCACTCCACTCACACTAGTTGTATGATCCTTTCATCTCTCTGCCTATAAACTGTATTTGTTACGCTGTCCTCTCACTGCACCTGACAAAACAGCTGCACTCCGCAAGCTTGTGATTTCAAATAAACCTGTTGGACTATGACCTGGTGTCGTGCGATTTTTGACTTTGTCCACTGCAATACAACACCAGCACCTCCACATCATAACACTGCAACAGATTACAAATTTTAAAAAAAACTTCCTTTTTGAAATTTAGTGCTCAGGTGTTAAAAATTTTCCAGTGCTTAATTTCTAAGAAGCAAAAGATGAAAACAAAGTCATGAATAGGGACAATTCAACTAAGCTGTTGGCAAACTACTGAGTCTCTAAACGTGTGACTAAAATTGTAACATACAATTCGACAGCACCCGTTTTGTGCTGGACAGCCAAACACTTGCTGAAATTACCTTAAATGGAATTAAGGATGATCTCTGTTTTCTCTTTCCCAAAATCTCAACCCCTTTCCCTTTTCAGCACCAATATTTTAGGCTTTTCAATGTCATTTTGATACACTTGGTGAACGTTTCTTGATTTCAATCCCTTTCTTTTTGCATCCATTCAGTGTTCTGGATTTCCAAAAACTGGCAGAACTGGGGTAATATACAAAATACCATGCAAGGACTGTGAGAAACACTTCATAGGCCAAATCGGAAGAAAACTGACTATACAGATACATGAATACCAACTAGCCACGAAGAGACACAATCAATTCTCAATTGTCTCACTACACGCTAACGTGGGACACGAATTTGACTGGGACAACACACTCAATCGCACAAGCCAAAACAGAGACACACCAGGGAATTCCTGGACACCTGGTATTCCAACTGGAACTCCTTCAACAAACACATTGAATTAGACCCTGTGTACAAACCACTGAGAAACAAAACTGGAATAATACCAACCATCCCAGCAAACCGAGGCATATAAGTAACAAGTGGGACAGAACACCGATGCTTCACCGGAGACACACTGACGATGTTACCTAGCAGGCTGATGAAACATCTGAACCAAACCCACCGGCTTGGCAGACATGTCTATAACCTCATCCATAACCCGAGCTACAAATCTTCTCAAAACCTTTATGTATTAATTCAGGATGACACAGTGGTAAGTTAAGTGTGATACCTAATTAAGCTAGTAGGTCCAGCTAACATTAACACAAGTGGCTATAGCTTTGTAAGGATGAGTATATTATGTTTAGAAGGGCCCTCTTGTGGCACAGTGGGACTGCTCCACCCCTGGACCAGGAGGCACGGGTTCAAGTCCCACTTGCTCCAGAGGAGTGTAATAACATCTCTGAACAGGTTGATTAGAAAAACAGATTAATTAAAACTTCTTTTTAAAAATTTTAATAAGTTTAACCTACATCTATATTAGTCCGAAATTGCCTGATCTCAGAAGCTAAGCAGACTCAGGCCTAGTTAGTACGTGGATAAGAGACCGCCTGGGAATACCTCGTGCAGTCGTCTTAAGCTCCCCTTTAGTGTAGTGGTTAGTATCCCTGTCTGCATTCACTAGACCAGAGTTTAATTCCCTGACTGCATTCACTAGACCAGAGTTTAATTCCCTGACTGCGAGTGCCCAGTGTGTGAGAGATGGGGCTGTGTGAAAATACAAAGTATTTTAGGGCTCTTGTGGCAGTGATCTTGTGGACCTACCTCTGCACCAGGAGGTCTCGGTTCACATACATTTGTGCAGCAGGTGAGACAATAGCATCTCTGAACGTGCTGGTTCGAAAGCAAGTTGTAATGCTTTTAGCTCTGGGAGGCCTGGATTCAAGTTTTAAAAGTGTAATAACATCTGAAAAGGTTGTTTAGCAAATATCTATAGCTTCACACTCGTTTAGTAAGAGGTCCTTTAGAGCAGTGGTAATGTCCCAGTCTCTGAGCTGGAAGGCCTCAGTTCAAATCTCATCTGCTCTAAAAAGCAACATAACACTTCTGTACAGGTTGATTGAAAACATCTAAATAACTAGTTGTCAGCATGCTCTTGTGGCACCACAGTAACGTCCCTCCCTTTGAGCCAGGTACCCGAGTGTATTGTAACATTTCTGAATAGGTTGATTAAAATAAAAGTAATATATTCAGTGGCCTCTTGTGGCACAGTGGTGTGGCCCTTATCCTGAGCTAAGAGGCTGGATTCACGTCCACTTTGTTCCAGATGTGTGCAACATCTCTGAACAGGCGGATTAGAAAATAACTATAATGCATTTTAGTTAACTGTACCCATTGCTACGAACATATTCAAAAGCAAATAATTTCAACTATGACAGAAACAAACTAATCTAGTACTAATCTGAAACAATAACACCAAACCAAAAATGTTTTATGACAGCACTACACAGTGCATTTACACTGAAAAGCATGAGTTTTTTTCAGATAATCATTATGTCATGCTTATTAACAAGCAAGAATCCTACAACAGTACATCTGAAAATGGATCCTGGTTTCGTGGATCACTGTGATAAATAACAGTTACCAAAACAGAAAAGGCAAACTGCACTCAGAATGCCTTTAATGTAATCAATTGTCTTAAGGTGCTGCGTGTGAGCATTATCAGCAAAAATTTGAGACCGAGCCACACAGGAAATTTTCAGAGGTGTGGTCAAAAGCCTGGTCAAACAGGTAGGTTATAAAGGATTACTTTGAACGATTAGTGAAAGCCAAGAGGTGTAGTCTGTGAATCTCATTGTCTTGGGGGTTAAACAACCAATGACATAGGCAATATATGATAAAAGGAAATTGGGACTCCACGAAAGGCCAAAATTGGAGAACAGGGCTCTCAGAGCATTATATGGCTGAAGGTGAGAGAGATGTGCAGAAAATAAAAAACAAAAGAACTGCAGATGCTGGAAATCAGAAACAAAAACAGAAATTGCTGGAAAAGCTCAGCAGGTCTGGTTGTATCTGTGGAGAGAAATCAGAGTTAATGTTTCAGGTTCAGTGACCTGAGGTGCCAGACCTGCTGAGTGTTCCAGCAATTTCTGTTTTTGTTTGTAACTTATTTTGAGATACTGGTAGACTTGGTATCAGTGTAGGACAGCGAGCACAGGGCTGATGGGAAAATAGGTCAATGCAAATTTAGATACAGGCTGTCTTTGGATAAATTCACATTTATTGATATTGGATTATCGAGTTTGATCAGGAGACCATTAAAATAGGTGGTCTGCAGATCAGAAAACCTCAGAGGACTTTTAGCAGCAGATAGGCTGAGGCAAAGGGGGAAATCGGCAACATTATGGAAAATAAGCAGGCAGCCTTGGTAATGGAGAACATATGGGTTTCAAAGGTCAGTGAATCCCACAAACAATACAACAGTCCTTAAACAGTTTGAACTGAGACTCTCCTTTAAAGAAAATACAACAAAATCATTGTTATAAGAGTTATTTCATATTTCTCAGATCATGCCATAGAATTATAAAAACTATAGACAATTACGTCTGCATGACAAGATAACCAGATGCTCTGATCAAATTTCACTTACCGTAATCTTAACACAAGGCTGATGGGTGTTTGGTGCAAATCCGGAGCAGCAGAACCAGGAACAAGCTTAAAATAAGAAGAACCAATTCAGCAGAAAGATATATGAGGAATAGAAAGACGAATTACACTGTCTATATTCATTTTTTCAAAGTTGTGCAAACCTACAAAAGGTGACAGCAATACTTGTTCGTAAATGTAGATTTACAGTTGAATAAAGGTTTAATGCAGCAATAAAGAAAATTATGCCAGATTTCTTCTTACTAAAGCTGAAGGAGTGTCTTACATTGGGAGCTTAAATTATTCATCCCCTCTAGAGGGTCTACTATTTAATTAGTTCTTGACAGATCTTGGCTTCAAAGACCCAATTGTGCTCTATAAATCCATGAAATCTTTGACCAAAGATTCAGATGCTAATTTTGCAAAATATGCATTTTTTAAAAAATTTGTATGGGATATGGCAAGGCCAGCATTTTTTGTCTACTCTGTGCCCTTGAATCAAGTAGCCTGCTAAGCCCTTTCAGAAAGCACCAAGAACTCAGACACATTGCTGTGGGTCTGCAGTCACAAATAAGCCAGTATAGCTGGGAAAATTTTATTGCCTGAAGTACACGAGTGAAACAGATGTGACTGTATATCAATGGGTTACATGGTTACTGTTGGACTAACTTGTAATTCCAGATTGTATTGAACTAATTTTATTAACTCATGTCCTGAGGTCCTCTGGATTACTCAGTGACAATATCACTGTCTTCCCTTAATTCATTCAGAATTTGCAATTGTTGAGATATCCAGATTTCTATTAATCTTTGTCTCAATGTTTGAAATTACACAAATGTTTTGAATTTACTCTTAAATTGAGGTCTAATTTTATGATTATGCCATTTTATCTAATTCCAGTGCTGTCATTAACAATGATCCACCAATTTAGAATCATACAGCACAGAAGCAGACCCTTCAGTCCAACTCATCTCATTAGGTAATTGGGCAAGGAGTAGAAATTTAAGATTAATCCTACCTCTGACGACATTCTACAGTCACATGCAAGTTATGAATGGTTGACCAGATATGCACAGACGGCAGGTTTGTCAAAGACCTGTCTCAGGCAATATTATGAGTGTCACTGTCTCTGCAATATTTTATACAAGCTTGTAAAATTCATCAAAAGAAGATTTCATTTGAGGAAAAACTGGAGAAATTTCTAAACTTGTGCATTCTCCAATTCAGTCAGTATAGAGAGGGGACAGGGTAAAGTCATGATTTCTACTTCAGTGGTTTAAGTAGAAAGTTCACGCAACCACAAGTTTTGGATCACTTTTGATTTGACCACATAGAAAGGCAAGGCCAGCAGAGGTATGAGATCTCCAGCACGTGCAAGATCCCCTTCAAGCTACACACCACTCTAAGTTAGAACAATAACCAATATTCAATTGCTGTCCAATAGTCTTTCAAAGCCTTGAATCGGTGCCTTTGACCCAAAATTAGAGGGTTGGAATTAGACATTTGGCAGCTTGCTCAACAAAAAGGGTGTACTAGGTGTAAAGTGCTTTTGAAGTAGTGAAAACAACTACAGCTCTACAAAAGCTGGCACTTGTTTAGATATTCTGAGGCTAAGTTCGTTTCAAGCAGTGCTCCTTACACTAAGAAAAAAGAAATTGTTGGAGAAACTCAGTAGGTCTGGCAGCATCTGTGGAAAGAAAGTTTTCTCCAGTAACTTCTGTTTTTGCTTCTGATTTCCAGCATTCACAGTTCTGTGTTTATTTTAAGTGTTCTCTTTACATAATCAATTGGGGGGGTGGGGTTCCATGATCTGGGGGGAATTGACAGCTAGTCTCAGTAATAGCACCCATCCACTCAATATTCTGTAGGGAATAAAATCTGCCATTCTTACTTGGTTAAGTCCATGAGGTGACACAGGTTTACAATAACATGGTTGACTTAATTTCTCTCTCAAAAAAAAGATGAGCAAGATCACTCCATTCAAGGGCAATAAGTGATGGGCAGCAAATGCTGGACTGGCCAGCGATACCCACATTGCATGAAAGAATAAAGACAGTTCATCACATCCAAGGAATAAAAAGCAATTGACATTTTACATTTGGGTTCCTCTTTGCATACGTTCATTGGTCTGAAGTATAATCCACCCTAAATTATTGGAGATACTCTCAAGGATTTGCTTCATTCCTAAATGAAAGGAGATGTAAAAGCTTCCAACTTTTTTTCAAAATAGAATTTGAGCTTCAACAATTTGAATATTCATTCTCATTGTAACATGTGTAACGTGCACCCCTTGAATAAAGTTGCAGCATTCAAATCTCAAAAAGCAGTTCCTATGGTTATTAGAAGTATTGTTATAGCCTGTACCATTGAAGTACAGTAGAAAGTTAGTCAAGTATTATGCTTCTGGAGCTAATGAAGCTCTTGATTAATATTCTCGCCCATTTCTAAAAGTGTAGCATACCTGGGATGCTGGTAGTTGATGCTGGGCTGCAGACTGTGGGCTGGGATCTGGTACAGCTGCTGGTGTTGGGACTGGTATTTCTGAAGGCTGATTAACTGGCAATTGATTAGCTTGAGTCGTTGCAGGTACTTTTGGTGTTGGCTGAGGTAGCTGTTGCTGGACTTGTCCAGAAGTCTGAATATTTGAACCTGGTATTTCTGCTGGTGCGAAAATCTATGAAGCAAAAAGAGTCAGCGTAAAAATAATGTATAAATCTATTCTCCACCTTCTGATTTCCTAAAACATAAATACAGTATTACAGTCAGTAATTAAGAAGGCTAATGGAAAGCTCTCTTTTATAAGAGTAATTGAACGTTGTAAGGATGCTATACCTGTTTGGAAATATTTAAGATATTAAATAGTCTTGGCAAGATGGATGTGGAAAGGATGTTTCCTTTTATACAGTCAGAGTCATGCAGCATGGAAACCTGCCCATTGGCCCAATGCGTCTGCGCCGACCAACAAACAATTATACTAATCACGTTTACCTGCATTTGGTTCGAAGTTTATGCCCTTGCATTTTAAGTTCTTGTCAAGCTTCTTAAATGTTGCAAGAGCACCTGCTTCCAACACCCTCTCAGACAGCACATTCTAGATTTTATCCTCTGACCTTCCCTAAACTAGTTACTCCTTACTTCAAACATACATCCTGGTCTTAACCAGGTCTTAAATCACACCCTCCCCTTCAGTCTCCTCCATTGCAGGAAAAACAAATCAAGTGTATGTAGTCTCTCCTCATACTGAAACTTTTCAGGCAACATTTGAATCTCCTCTGCACCCTCTCTAGAGTAATCAGGTGCTTCTGATTGTGTGGACCAGAACTGCACACAATACTCCATCTGCAGCCTAAGCAATGCTTTAAACAATTGTAGCAAGACTTCCTTGCTCCAATATTCTCCACTCTGGCTAATCAAGGCACGCATGCCGTATGCCTTCTTCATCACCCTATTTACCTATACTGACACCTAGAGACATGTACTTCAAATACTTTTATTCCTCAGTGCTCCCTAGGACCTACCGTTCATTGTGTATAAACCTTCTCTTATTACACCACCCAAAATGCATTACCTCACTTATCAGGATGAAATTCCGTGTGCCATTGTTCTTATGGCTGAGTCCAGCACTGAGGGGCGCTGTTTAGAAAAAGCTTATAGGTGCACTTTCAGGACAGAGATGAGGACAGTGAATTATTTTAAAGGTGGAGGTAGACAGATTCTTATTAGGCAGGAAAAATCAAGGGTTATCCAGAGTAGTTAGAAATGTGGAATTCAAAATACAACAGATCAGCCATTATCTAATGGTCAGAGCAGGCTCAAGAGACTGAATGACCTATTTTTGCTAGTAATTTGTAAATTTACAAATTTGTATTCGTTGGACCACGAAGTTTCAGTGGTACTGAAAATGCTCACTAGGTGGCATCTATGGTACATATAGGCAGATTAGTGAGAGCACTACAATCATTGAATGATATAATTTAGAGAAACTGTCATTCACTCATCATTACTTTCCTGACGCTAATTAACCACATTTCTCAAATTTTCACAGAACATTTCACTTTTTTAAAATCGTGTATTCATCCTATTTGTTTCAATGTTACTATTGAAACTGCTTTCACCATTATTTCAGATTACTAATATTCAACTTGCTGTGCACATTTTTGACTCTTGTCTATCAAATACAATCTCTAATCTCTGGTTACTGAACTTTCAGTCACTAAGAACAGTTTCTCATTCTAGCAAAAGAGTTGTGACTTTCAACATCTCTACTAATTCTTCCCTGATCCTACTTCTGCACTTTAGGGAGAACAACCCCAGCATCTTCAAGTAACTGAAGTCCTTCACTCTGTCACAATTCTCAAAGCTTGTTTACACCCTCTATAAAACCTCAACTTTTTCCTGAATTGAGGTGCCAATCAAACTCATCTCAGATCTTCCCTTTCGTTCTCCCTTCCCTTGCTCAAACCCATTATATTTCTGTCTTTCCTTAGTTCTGGTGAAGGGTCATCAGCCTAAAACAATGACTCTACTCTCCAAAGATGCTGTGTGACCAACTGAGTAATTCCACAATATACTGTTCTTATTTCAAACTGCCATGACCTGCAGTACACAATTCAAAGTCACCTTACATACAACATAAATCTCAGAATTTCAAAATATCAAGTAGCCCTTACTTAAGCAGTGATTATAGGCTGCTTAGAAGTGCTATTATGTTGTATTCAGCATGGTAATAACCTTCATTAAGGTTAGGACAAAAGAGGAGGCATTAGGAAGATTGACTAAACATTCAGTCAGAGATGGAGTTTATGGAATGCCTTAATGATGGAAGAGGCAGAGGAGAGGCAAGAGGGTTCAAGGAGAAAATTCCAAAACAACAAAGCTAGCAATGATAAGGACTACTTATACTATAGCAGGGATAGGAGCGTGATCAGAAAAATTCAAATGTGGAATCATAAGATAAGCCTGGATCTTTACAGTGATGATATTCAAAATGGGATAGAGGAATGTTACGAGCTGGGGCAGTAAAAAAAAAAGTTATGATACGTTCTTACAAGAGAGAAATAGAAGTTTTGAATTAGAAAGCCAATATGTGAGGACACGATTCAATGACATAGTGATTACACTACTAGACTAGTGATCCAGAGTTTAATTTCCAGAATACTTGGGAATTCAAATAATTACAAAATAATCTGGAATACAAAGCTAGATTAAATAATGGTGGCCATGAAAATACCGTATCATTGTGAAACAGAAACAACTTGAATGTTCTGTGGAAAGGAAATCTGTCATTTTAACTGATCTGGTCTAAACATGACTCTAGACCCACAGCAATGTGGTGGATTTTGAAATGGTCTGTCAAGTCATGCAGCTGCATTTCAGGCAGCAATCATCACCACCTTCAGTTTAATTACAGAAGATGAATAAGTGGTGATTGAATGCAAGAAAACAAAAATGGACATAAGAGAAGAATTTCCAATGGAAGCTAGTGTGAAAGCGACCAAGGAAGGTTGGGCAGGGAGCATTTTAACGAGAATTTGGTAAACAGAGCAATAAGAATCTCATGAACAAGATCAGTCAGAAGACAATTAACGGGAGACAGGACAGAAACTAGAGGAGAAAAAGAATTCGGGTTCAGAACCAGGACAGTGGAGAATCTTGGGAGGGACATGTGGCAAATCAGCACAGACAACTAAAAGTTGTGTCTCAATCTTTGTGATAAAAGTTAAGTTGCTGTACACATTTACTGGAGAATAACAAGGAGGAAGGCTATGGTGGCTACTCCATTAAGTACAGCAGCACAAATATTTAACTTTCTTCTGTATAGATTGTTGAGTCAAGTACTAAATAAAAACCAAAAGAACTGCAGATGCTGTAAATCAGGAACGAAAACAGAACTGAGGAAGCATCACTGGATGCGAAACGTTAACTCTGATTTTTTTCTTCACAGATGCTACCAGACCTGCTGAGTTTTTCCAGCAACTTCTGTTTTTGTCGTTGTTGAGTCAAGTGCTGGCTAGAGGCCAAATCCACCTACGTTCTCCACCATTAGCAGTACTGACTACTGATTTTACAGCTCTTTCCTGCTTTATCCCAGTCAGAAATCTATGCCACATATTTGGGAAATAGTTCTTGATATTCAGCAAAAAGGATCTGGAGCTTGGAGGTGGTCTGTAAGATTCTTTACTCATACCTAGTACTGTTACAACCTCACTCCCATCAAGGTACTTCACTATCTGCTTATGACTCAGCTGCATGCTGGAGAATTTTCTAATACTAATTATGCATGAGTACTTTGGACAAACAGAAAATTATGCTGTGGTTAAGCAGGGTTCGGGAAGTGTGGATCATTGCAACAGACATAGAAGGTGCAGAGGATATTCAGCAAATTATCATCTCCTAGGATGAATGCCATTTTTGATTTCAGAAACTTAGGCTGAATCTGGACTGCCTTCCATTGCCTAACTTCAAAATATAGTACTAAAAAATATTCTTGTATGGATGGGCTGAGGTGATATTGCTTGAAAAGTATCTTGCCTCTAACTTCTTTCACCAGACAAGAAGTGAATTTAAAAGCACAAGTAAGCTGTAAGAGTGTACCAGGCAATGATCAACTATTCTTCTGTATTTCTTATATAGGGCAAGTTAATTATTACCTCCCACTAAGCCTTATGCTCCTATTTATTGTTTTCAACTTGAGTGATGTACTGCATCATGAATATTGGTCCATAATCCTGGTTTCTCAATTAAAAAAAAAAAAAATGGTGAGGCTCTAGAAGATTACAGCTCAGTAATTTTGGTTATTTTACAACATTTCTGGTATTTATTTTATAGGGTAACTCTATTCAGCACAAAAAAAAAATCAGCATTGACATTCCAGTACAGTACTGAGGGGTTACTGCACCGTTAGAGTTGCTGTTTTTTGGATGCGATGTTAAAACTGAGGGAACTACAGACTTGCTAGCCTTACATCAGTAGCAGAAAAATACTGGAATCTATTATAAATGGTGGTATATAAAGACACCTGGTTGATCATGATTTGATCAGGCATAGTCAGTATAAATTTGAGAATGGGAAATCATGTTTTACTGACTTGGAACTTTTGAAGATGTTACTAACAAAATTGATAAAGGAGGGCTGATGGATGTAGTATACTTAGATTTTCAAAAGGCTTTTGAGGAGATTCTCTCAGGAGGCTGGTTAGAAAAACAAAAACACATGGGAGAGGAGGTAATGGAATAATGATTGGCTAGATAGACAGAAAACAGGAGTGAATGGCTTATTCTTGCATTGCAGCTGTGATTAGGAGGGTACTGCAAGGATCAGTATTTGGGGCACCAGCTGTTTACAGCATAAACCAATAATTTGGAGTTGGGTCCAAAGCTAGCATTGATAAATTTGCAAATGATATAAAGCTAATTGGGAATGTGTTGCATGGAAGTTATAAAGCAGTACTGGGAGGATTTGGACAGGCTAACTGAATGGACAAGAATATAGCAAATGGAAAATAATGTGAAAAACTTTGGTAGGCAACAGATGCACAGTATTTCTTAAATGCTATGATGTTTAAAAATATAGACATACAAAAGGAACCTAGATTTCATTGACGACAAGTCACAGATGGCTAATATGCAGGCACAGCAAGCTATTAGGAAAGCTAATACTTTTTATTACAAGAGGATTTCAGTGCAGAAGACGACAGCCTTGCTTCAATTGTAAAAGAGCTTGGTTAGGTAGACATGATGGTAAAGGTGGTGTTTGACACCCTTGCTTTTATTGATCAGTGCTTTGAGTATAGGAGTTGGGATACCATGTTGCAGCTGTACAGGACATTGGTGAGGCTACGTTTAGAACACTTTGTTCAGTTCTGGTCTTCCTACTATAGCAAAATTGTTGTTAAACTTGAAAGAGTTCAGAAAAGATTTACAAAGACGTTGCCGGGATTGGAGGGTTTGAGCCATAGGGAGAGGCTGAATAGGCTGGGGCTATTTTCCCTGAATCATTGGAAGCCGAGGGTTGACCTTAGAGGTTTAAAAACTCACAAGGGGCATTGACAGGACAAACAGCCAAGGTCTTTTCCTTAGAGTGGAGAAGTCCAAAACTAGAGGGCATAGGTTTAAGGTGAGAGGGGAAAGATTTAAAAGGGACCTGAGGGGAGACTTTTTCACTCAGAGGGTGGTGCTTGTATGGAATGAGCTGCCAGAGGCGGCGGGGGAGGCTGATACAATTACAACATTTAAAAGGCATCAGGATGGGTACGTGAATGGGAAGGGTTTACAGGGATATGGGCCAAATGCTGGCAAATGGAACTAGGTCAGATTAGTAATACCTGATCAGTTGGACGAGTTGGATCGAAGAGCTTGTTTCCATGCTATACAACTATCTGAGTTTATGACTCTGTATGCGGACCTGGAGTACCGAGACCAAAACTGCTCTCATTTGAGGAAAGATATTATTGTCAAAGAAGCAAATGCAATGAAGGATCAGCAGACTTGTTCCGGGATCCTCTGGGGAGATTGGGAAAATTGGGCCCACATTCTCTAGCATTCTGAAGGACGAGAGGTGATCTGATTGGAAGAGCCGGCACAGTGGCTCAAGTGGTTAGCGCCGTTACCTCACAGCACCAGGGACCCGGGTTCAATTCCACCCTCTGGCGACTGTGCAAAATCCACACAGACATTCTCCCCATGTCTGCGTGGGTTTCCTCCGGGTACTCCGGTTTCCTCCCACAGTCCAAAGATTTGCAGGCTAGGTGGATTAACCACGCTAAATTGCCCAAGTGTTCAGGGATGTGTAGCTTAGGTGGGTTATAGGGAGATGGGGATGGGTCTGGGTGGGACGCTCCAAGGGTCGGTGTGGATTTGTTGGGCCGAAGGGCCTGTTTCCACACTGTAGGGGTTCTATGAAAGTTATAAGATACTTAAAGGGAGAGATAGGGTAGATGCAGACAAGATGTTTTGCCTATATACAGAATCTAAAACTGGGGGCCACAATTTAAAAATAAGTGGTACGCTAACTGGGTTTGAGATGCGGAGAAATTATTTTTACTCAAAGGGTTGTGAACCTTTGGAATTCTTCACCACAGAGGGCTGCAGGAGTCCAGTTTTTGAGTATAAGTTTGTGATTGATAGATTTCAGATTATCAGTGTGTACAGGGTTATGGGGATGGAATGGCATTGAAATGTTCAATCAACCATGATCACGCTGACAGTAGCCAGGCTTGATTGGCTGAATGGCCTACTCCTGTTCCTGAGACTCCATCTGTTTGCTTGGCATATAAAACAGCATCATGTGTAAGCTCCCTTCCAAACCACTGACCATCCAGACTTGGAAATAATTCGCTACTCCTTCAGTGTCGCTGAGTCAAAAATCCTGGGAAACCCTCAACAGCATCTCTTGAATTTCCCATACTTCTGCCCTCAAAGCCCCTCCCCCTAACAAAAATAAAGACAGAATTCCCCTTGTCCTCACATTTCACCCCAACCAAACTCTGCATCCAACATATCATTCTCCACCATTTCCGCCAGCTACAATCCGACCCTATCACCAAAGAGATATTTCCCTCCCCATCCCTACCTGCCTTTCGTAGGGACCACGCTCTCCACGACTCCCTCATCCGTTCCAGAGTCCCCACTTACCACACCATACCCGGCACCTTTCCCTGCAACCACAGTAAGGGCTATACCTGCCCCTATTTCTTGCTCCTGAACTCTACTTGAGGCCCACAGAAAAACTTTCATATCAGGCAGGGGTTCACCTGTACATCCGTCAACTTGTTCTACTGTATCCGCTGCTCCCGATGTGGCCTCCTCTACATCGGTGACACCAAGCGTAGACTCGGAGACCGTTTCGTAGAACATCTACGCTCTGCACGTGACAAACACCACCACCTTCCGGAGGCCAACCATTTTAAATACCCTCGCCCACTCCCTGGGTGACATGGCCAACCTGGGCCTCCTCCAGTGTCACAATGACCCCTCCTGCAAACTGGAGGAGCAACACCTCATATTCCGCCTCAGGAGCCTAGAGCCCAATGGCCTAGACATGGAATTCACCAGTTTTAAAATCTCTCCACCCCTGGCCTCATCCCATGTCCAATCCTCCCCCTCATCCCCTCCTCCTTGACCTAACACAACCTGTCCATCTTCTCTCCCACCTACCCGCCTCACCCATCCCACTGACCAATCCCCATCCCTCCCTACCTGCACTCATCTATCACCATCCCACCTACCTTCCCCAGCCCCACCACTCCTCCCTCTATTTATTTCCCAGCTCCCTTCCCCCTCCCCATTTCTGAAGAAGGGTCCAGACCTGAAATGTCAGCTTTTCTGCTCCTCTGATGCTGCCGGACCTGCTGTGTTCCTCCAGCTCCACGCTGTTATATTTGAGACATCTAGTAGTTGTACGCGTGCAAGACTTTCCCCTCTCCCTCGCCCCTGTAGTTCTATGTCCTAGTCATTGTTCTCATGTTATTGCCAGAACAATAGTGCCTGAATGCTCTATTATGGCACATAACATACATAGCAACTGAACAATTAACTAAGAGATAGTAAGAACTGCTGATGCTGGAGTCAGAGATAACAGTGTGGTGCTGAAGGAACACAGCAGGCCAGGCAGCAGGAAAGTTGACATTCTGGGTCGGGACCCTTCTTCAGAATGCCCTTTTCTTCAGGCCTTCAGAACCTTTTTCTGAAGTGGGATCCTGAACAATTAAATCTCACTGTTACTGCATTGATAACTAGGCCCCTCATATACAGTTTCTCCTCTTTCTACAGTGCTGAGTAGAATAATATTCCAGGAATACAAACGGTTCCGATTCTTTGTTCCAGTATTCCTAATAACATTGGAAAAAAAAATCATTTTTGGAGGAAAAATGTCATTGCCTATCTTGGAACATCTATGAAAAAGACAAAATGTCTCTCACCTATTTGTCACTACTACATCCACTGCCATTTAATTCAATTCAAATTTTTGCTCCATTTCACATTGATTTTTGGCATTAGTTCTACATTTTTTCTTCATAGTTACTTTTAATCTATGTCTTTGATCTTCTCTTACAATTTAATCATTCTTTTATAATTTCTCTCTTGTACACTTTCATCAGGTCACCTAAATTTTCTCTTGGCAAACAAGTGCCAAAATGTCTGTAATATGCCCCCATAAAACAGACAGACAGACTCTGGAGATGAGCCTTGATATTTTTCCATACCACTTCTGATTGGCTATATTAAGCACAGGTAACCAAAGATGGCAGTAGTCAAGGCACAGTCACGTGGAAGAACTATGCAGCTCAAGCTTAATATCTGCCAAGTTTCACACTGATTAAACAACATTGTTCAGTGTGTATTCATGTTTATCATGTAAACTCTAATATTTGGTCATTGTTTCAAACTATATTACAGAAAATGAAATCAACAAGATTTTAAATGGAGGTTTTACAATATTGAAAGACCTTGCTGAGGTGGCTAATCATGCAGCTATAATGGGCTGCTCATATGCTTTCACAATGACTAGTCATGGCAGCAACTACTCAGTCAAGTCACCTACTTGCTGAGAAGAGGAATCAAAACAGAGAAAACAACAGTGTTATTTAATCTGGAGGAAGGTTGCATATGAAGGCTCAGAATGGAGTAGGTTTGAAGGGCTAAATTGGCATTTGTAAACGAGACAATTAGAGTACGTCAACTTCACCACCCAAAATTTTTTTCTCAAAAAGATCTGTAATTACATTTCTATTAACAGACTTAAATACCACATCCTAAAAAAAGTCAGCTACTTTTTAAATTCCTTTCAAATAATAAACATTAATAGACACCAAAAAAATGCAGTTAGTTTGAATGACTTTCTCAGCCATCAAACCCGTGAACTGCCTTCAGCATTGCTGCACTGTAACTGCAGAAATTCACCAAGTTTACTTCTACAGAACATTCCTCAACCCTCTATTGTGTAGCACAAAGACAGACAAAACCAGTAGTGTCGTGAGGATACCATCATTTCCAAATTCTTCTCAAAGTGGCATACCACTATTGATTGGGTGTTTCTGCATTGTCGTTTGCTAAAAACCTGGATATCCTTCCAACACCATTATGAAAACATTATAACCACAAAGAAGGCATCAGATCCAAAAGGCTTATTACCATATTTTCAGCTAGTGATGCAAAATAATCACACTCTTGCCAGAATATTCAAAATCAAAGAAAAAATACTTTAACTCACATCTGGACCCTGTGTAGACTCTTTCACCCGGGGGGACTGTTGAGAAAGATGATAAAAACATGAAGAATTAAATACACAAACATGATAATCAATTCAATGTCAGGATAACTACAAAACCTGACGTATACAAGAAAAGCCAATTGTATTAGGTTAAATAAGTAGTGTTAACATCGCATCTTAGAAAGGATTAAAATGACTGAACTCTTAAAGGCTTATACCCAAAAAAAAATCACCATTTTTCTACATTACATGCTGTTCACTTCCTGCATTTTTATGTTCTTTTTGAGATTTTTTAGTTGCCAACGGCTTTTTTCCCCCCCTTTCTAAGGTGTAGGGAGAAGGGCAGTAGGAAAAGCATTCCTAGTTTCATGCCCCAGCTTGTACTCACCAACGTTTGACTGCTGCATACTTTTGATCCTTCCAATGTGGAGACCTTTGGAGCATTTTAGCCAGAAGATTGCCATCTTATCCCTCTTCCCAAAGTAACTTAAAACCTCTCAGCAAATAGGAAGCGGAGAGAAATTTCAGATTCAGGAGCAGTGAGGAGAGGGGCAGACTCAGCCAGCTAAAGCAGCAACAGAAGGGAGACTCACAGCTTGAATTTTGACATCAAGGTAGCTTCAACACAGGAGAAGTCTGAATGGTCTGCTGTGAAATACACAGCCTGCTCTTGCGGCATTGAGAGTTAGAATGCTCCATATCAATCAATCCGCATCAAACCCAAGCAAAGCTGTGGGTTCCTCAGATAGCAGGTTGGAATGGGGGTGGCAGCAATGTACGTGCGTTTGTCTTTCTGTGGAACAGAGCCTGTTCCCTACTTGTCTAGACCATCCCTGACTTTGGGCAAAGGAATGCATGCCATGTAGTAGTCCATATGTACTGTCAGCCCACGTTAACAAAAAACCTACATACAGGCATCTTCCACCCCTCAGTACTCAGTTCGGGATCTGGAAAAATCAGGATCTTCACGAACAACCTCAGCAGACTTGAATGTCACACTGACATCACAGTCCTGTACCTCTGGCACAATGACACTGACCTTGCTGCTCTGAAACAAACACAATAGGGACAAGATCAGCTCCAAGAACAAGGTAGCACATATTCCTTCTCTGGTAAGGGAAATCAGAAGAAGAACGCCAACTCTATGGATTTGATTTCACTCTAAAAAGTAGACAAGTTGACCGCCTCTTATTCCACAAGGGATTCATCGAAGCCTCAGTCATTGACTCTCAGTAAGCCTAGTGACACTGAATGAACAGGAACTGCAACATCCAGAATATCCAAATGACACTTAAATCCACTATAAAACAGCACAGGGAAGAAAACTATAGGTTTCTTCACCAGGAAATATCAAGACGAGAATGCCTAGGAGATCTGGAAGCTAAAGTACAAGCACAATATATTTCTAAACTTGAACACCACCAAAACCCAAAGCAAAGTCTATAGGCAAATGAAGGTCAACGTCTAACAAAAAAAACCCCATGAGCTAAAGAACAGAGGAAAGAGCGTAGGAAATCCAGCAATTCATCGACAACAATGGCATGTATGGATTCTTCACTGCAGTCAAGACAGCTACTGCCTAAGTCCTCCACAACAATCCTCAACATCAGCACCCCACAAGGATGCAGACTCGGTCACTTCCCATACTCAGTTTACATGCATGACTGCGTGGCCAAGTTCCATCTGAACTCCATTTACAAGGTTGCTGGTGACACCACCACTGTAGGCCAGATATCAAACAATGATGAGACAGATTACAGGAAAGAGATAGACCATTTGGCGGCGTTGTGTAAAGATAACAAACTCTCCCTCAACGTCAGCAAAACTAAAGGGCTGACCATCAATTTCAGGAATCAAGAAGAAGCAGGGCATGCCCCTATCTACATCAATGGAGTGGAGGTGGAGATGATCGATAGTTAAGTTCCTGGGTGTGACGGTCACCAATCTGTCCTGGACCACCCACACTGATGCAACGGTCAACAATGCCTACTCTTCTTCAGGAGGCGAAGGAAATTTTACATTTCCATAAGTACTCTCACCAATGTTTAGAGATGCACCATAGAAAGCATTCTTATGAATGCTTATTCATTCTTATTCTTAAGAATGCCTATAGACTTTGCTTTGGATACATCATGGCTTGGTACAGTAACTACCCTGCCCAGGACCACAAGAAACTACACAGAGTTCTGAACACAGCCCAGTCTAGCACACAAGCCAACCTTCCATCCATTGATTCCATCTACACTTCTTGCTGCCTCAGAAAGGCAGCCAAAGACGCCTCCTACCCTGGTTATAATCTCTTCCAACCTCCATCCGGCAAAAGATAAAAGAGCTAAGACACAAACACCAAGCAGGTTCAAGAACAGCTCCTTCCCTTCTGTTATTAGACTTCTAACCATACCCCTCAAATTTCAAATCTAATGTTGATCTTGCTTTTCATGCACCTACTTTGCAGCGTAATTCTGTATTCCCTGTTCTGTTCAATCATTCTATGATCTTTGTATGTTGTGATCTGTTTGTACTGCATGCAAAACAAAAACTTTTCACTATAATAGGTACGTGACAATAATAAACCAAATCAAATAAATGAACATCAAACCAAAGACCTATCCTATAGAGCTAAGATAGACTGACACTCAACAACTGAGACAGTTAGCACTTCTAATAAGAATCTCAACTGAAAATCGTCTTCAACGCAAGTGCTCTCGACCACATTCCACAGCACTGCTCCAGTCTTCGGGAGGTTAAAAAGGTCATCTGACAACTAAGAATCAAATGACTACCAGAGCAGATGGAATCCCCACAAAATACTAGAGTAGAACTCTTGGCACAAATACATAATCTCATCTGCCATCCGAGAGTTACAGAATTTACAGCAGCAGTAGAAGGCAACATTGACCTTTGTGTCCTTGCTCACAAGGAGCTGCACTGAGACAGCCGAAAATTACATCAAGTTAACAGCAGGTAAACTTTCGTCAGCTATATTTACAAAGAATTATGCAAATAGACACCAGATATTGAATGTCATCAAGCGATAATCCACAGGTAAGAACTGTGGCACAGGGTTAAAAATTGTAGACAAGATATAATGGAAAAAACAGGTGGAATAAAATATTGGCAGTTTCCTAATCTGCTCATAACACTTTAGCCTAAAACAGTCTGGTTCCACTGAACACAAAAGCCAATGCAAAACAAACAGGGATTTGTTGATGATCGTCCTTCAGCCTAATTAACTGCATCAGTATAGAATGGAAACCATTAACACCTTCACATTGACAAAAGCAGATGACTTTTTTTACTTAAATTGTTTGCAAATCCATGCTAGTCATCTTTTGCACGGCATCATGGTTTTTAAACAGTGAATTGTTTAGATGCATTTAAATCTCCTCTTTAAAAAAAGAAAAGTAGCTTAATGCAGACAAATGTATTTCATATTATCTCATTCATTTTGAGCAGTAAATCTCAGCCCTGTTCTTTTGGTCACAGATCAATGTATGCAAAATACTTGTCCTGTTTTTGCCAGAGCTAAGGACAAGTTCTTAGTGCTGGAGAGGAACATGGAATGGGAGGGGAGGGATCCAGTTGTCCATCTTCATGTTGGCATGAACATTGTTAGGACTGGAAAGGAAGTCCTGCTGAAAGACTGCTTAAGGATATGGTGGCATTACATGGCAACTAGTTTGATGATACCCGAGTGGGACAAGAAGAGACAAGAGTCTACAAGCATAAGACGAAGCAGCAAACTGGGGTCAAATGGGAAATAAAATGATACAAGCAAAATTAGTAGTTCTTTATTTAAATGTATATATTACTTGGAACAAAATAATTGAATTAAGAGCATAAATAATGGGCAATGATCTTATAAACTTTGTTTCAAGGAGATCAAAGTTGGGAACTAAACATTCAGAAATGTGTGACTTTTCAAAGGACAAGCAGGAAGGCAGGTTGGTGGGGTGATTCTGTTAGTGTAAAGTAGAACAAGTACAATGGCAAGAAATCTTTAATCAGATGACGTAAAATTCATGTGGCTGGAGGGAGCAATAGCAAGAGGAACATGACACTGCTAGGACAGTCTTCATGCCCCCTAAAAAGTAGCTGTTCAGTAGGATGTACAATAAATCATGACATAATGAGGGCATTACAACAATCAGGCACTCAAACATTAATTATGGGTGACTTTAATTTTCACATAGATTGAGCGATCTGGGTAGCCATCAGGAAGAGATGCAAGAACTGCAGGTGCTGGAGTCAGAATCAACAGCGTGGAGCTGGACGAACACAGCAGCTCAGGCAGCAGAGGAACAGGAAAGTCGACGTTTCTGATGCCGCCTGAGCCATCAGGAAGAATTCAGAATGTAGTCAGGAAGTTGTCCAGGAACAATACGTTGTGAATCCAACCAGAGATTGGGCTATTTTGAATCTTGTAATGTCTAATGACGCAGGTTTAGCAAATGATACTAAAGCACATACTCTTGCCAACAGTGACCATAACATGATAGAACTTAGCATTCAGTTTGAGAGCTCAAGGACAACGAGGCAATGTCAATAGATGCTAGCCCAAAAATGGATACCAAAATTCTGTGAATAAATTTAAAAGACGTTCTTGAGGATTTGAAAACTGCCTACGTACAGCCTTTAGTCAAAAAGAAAAATATAGGCCAGTTAGCTTAAACATCTGTAATTGAGATATACTAGAGTCTATTATAAAGGACGCAATTGCAGAGTATTTAGAAATACAGAGTCAAAGCCAGCATGGCTTCATGGAGGGGATTTGGGCCTAACAAATTTATTAGAATCCTTTGCAGTAGTAACAAACATGATTGAAAAAGGACTTCCTTTCCAATCCCAACAAGTTGTTCATGCCAACATGAATATCTACGAATAGACCTTTTCACTCCCATTCCACGTTCCTCTCCAGCCCTGAAGACCTGTCAAAAATAGAACAAGTATTTTGCATACATTGAACTGTGACAAAAAAAACAAATATGTAACATATTTAGATTTCCAAACGGCATGTGATGAGCTACCACGAGCTT